TAATAGGGGAGAACAATACATAAATTGGGGGAATAACACAAGAAACTTAACAACACACTACCACAGGTAGGATGGAATGAAGAGCGGGTGAAGGTTGTGTGCTGTGAGCAGGATGTGCAGAGCGCTGGCGCAACCGGCTGGGTTAATTAGGCAATGCTTTGATGTCATTGGAGCTGCTCTTCCTCGCCTTAATGAGCTTTCCTCAATTAGGGGATCTTCCCACGAGCAGCAGGGGTTGTTAGTGGGTTCTGCCAGCGTGGCATTGGGTCATCCAACAGGAAAAACCCAGCAGAAGCTTTGGCCACTGAGATTTGTTCTGAGATTTGTTCTGAGATTTGTTCTGAGATTTGTTCTCGCCCTGGGAATCGAGTTGCTCCAGCTCTGAAGCTGGAATCAGGAGGCTCTGGAGAGGCTGGGAGGTTCTCTGGTGTCCTCTAACTCGGTTCCTCACCTTTGACATTTCTGCTGTGTCCAGGTGTGAAGCAGCCTGGGGAAGCCCCACCTGCCAGCGAGTCCATGGATGGCACCCCCCGCACTCCCAACAACACCTTTGAGTTCCCATCTCCCCTGGAAAACCTGCAGGAGGAGGAGGGAGAGGCTGAGAGGTAACTCTGGCTGCTTGGGGGAGCCTTGGGAGAGAGTCAGGAAAGCTTGGGAGGGATTGGAAAAGAAAATTGTGGAGATTCCTTTGTCAGTGGCTGCTGAAATTGAGTGCATAAAATGACAGCGACATTGTATTGGTAGAATTTGGGTTTTGTGATAGAAAACTGTTGGGAGAGGGGACAGAATGCTCTGCCTTGGAGCTCAGACCTCCATTCTGAAGCCATTCTGAGCAGGGAGAAGCTCCCTCATGATTCCTTTCCTCCCTTGCAGGATGGTTGACATGGGAACACCGAAGCCTTTTCGCAAGTGAGTGTGCTTGGAAATGTTTGAACTTGACTGAATTTGTTTGGATTTCAGATGGTTATGAAGCAGAATGCAGCAGGGCTCTTTGTTCTGAGGCAGCACCGTTGTCTGCATGGTCTCTTTTCTTTAAGAACACACAAAATCAGACACTGCAGCCATTTGTAGGGCAGGTGGAGTGAGTCAGATGCAAAAATGCCCCTTTGATCTGTGAGTGAAGTGGAGTGATTGCTGTATCCACTGATTTAAATGGATGGCAGTTGGGTTAGGGAGTAGAGAAATCCCTGTTTTCCTTTTCAACCTGTGTTGCTGTTGGTTCTGTACCTACAGATAGACTGAGGCAAGAAACTGTAAGCTGCCCTTTTCCCTGCCTTGCTATCTGACTGCAAATGATTTGATCTGTGTCATTAAAAGGAGGGTTATGAAAACACTGTCAGAACAGTCAATCTGGAAAGGGCAAAATTAGAGAATGTGCCCAGAGGTTCAGGCATCAAACAGCCCCCAGCTGGCAGGGACGGTGTGTTCATAAAGCTGATTGATGTACTCAGCTTTTCTCTGAAATGGGAATTAATTCTTTTTTTTTCTCCTCCCATCAGGATGGACAGCGTTGGCTTTGCAGATGTGCAGAGTGAGGACGAGCTCTATGACTTCGACATGGACATGGACCCTCCCAACTGGCAGCAGCTCGTGAGCAGGGAGGTGCTGATGGGGCTCAAACCCTACGAAATCAAACGTCAGGAAGTGATAAATGGTGAGATGGGGGTTCTGTCCTACCTGGCCAAGCCCAGAGCTGAAAAACCTTCCCCTGGAGCTTTGAAGTTCTTAAAAATTTAAAATTAGTTTTTTTTTTTTTTGAAATAATGGCTGGAGAATTGTAGAAATTGTAGAACTTTTGGGTTGAAGAGTTCTTAGCTGTGAAACTCGTGCTTGTTACTGGGAAATAACCTGAGGTGAGATTGATCCAGTGAGAAATGACCTGAGGTGAGATTGATCCAGTCCTTAGAGGAGAAATAAAGAAGCGGTTATTAAATATTATTAAAGCACTGAAAGGCCAGGTTTTTTAATATGTTCTATTAAAGACAACAAGAAAATCTTGGTTTTTTTGGGAAGCAGGTGATGGAAATGCTGCTCCCAAACTTCAGCAGATTTGAGCTGCAGCTCCTGGATTTGTGAGCTCAGAGCTGTTGGTTTGGGGCAAACGATGGAATTTTCCAAACCTGGAATTACAGCAGGGCCTCGGATATGAACCAGGGAGGGAAAAGCTGCTCTGAGCTGCCCTGTGGCTGCACAGTTGCCATCCTGCTCTCCCTGTGTCCCCAGAGCTGTTCTACACGGAGCGAGCCCACGTGCGCACGCTGAAGGTCCTGCACAACGTCTTCTACCAGAGGGTCACCAGGGAGGGCATCCTCAGCTCCAGTGACAAGAGGAAAATCTTCTCCAACCTCGAGGACATCCTTGGGCTGCACGGTAGGAGCAGCTGGATGCTGCAGTTTGGGCTTCCAGTGGCTGAAAGATTGAAGCAAAGGGACCCTGGAACATGAGGCAGCTTCACCCAGGGCTTGAGACAGAGCAGAGTTCTTCAGGATAGAGCAGAATTCCTCAGGAATTCTTCAACACTGCCCTGGGCTTGCTTTTGCTCACACTTGTTCCATATCTGATTCACGAAGATATTTTTTTAAGGAATCATGTGTCCAGTGTTCCTTATCTGTGTTGATTCATGGTTGATAAAAGAGCAGTGAGCTTTATGGGCCAGGGTTTGATGGTACAACTGCTCCTGAGGAGAGCAGAAAACAGATTTATANCAGGCTGCTCCCTCTGCAGCTGGGATTTGAAGTTGGCACTGTCATCTTAATGTGGAGTGCATTTTGCACTAGGCTCTCATCTCTGAAAAACCTGCTTTGAAGAACAAGTGCAAGCAATGATGTGTTTATTATCTGTCAGTGCAACTTAAAATACACCCATGAAGTCATTCTTGGAAGCTTTTTAAACAATTTTGTTTTCACTTTTGAAAAAGAAAAGAATTTAGGCTGTGTCATTTTCCCCTTTTCCCCTGTGTTAAAAGTGCTGAAAATTTGGTGTGGTTGTTTTCTCTTAGAAAAGCACTGCAGCCTTTTCTAGATAAATTAAGGTTTTATGAGTAATGTGAGCTGCCTGGCTTTTGAAGGAGTTGATTTTTAAGGATGATCTCTTGAAATATTCTGCTGTCATCTCTGCAGGATGGAGTCCTGTCCTCCAGGTCTGTGTCAGAGTCGCTGCAGATCAGCGAGGGCGAGGCAGAGAGTGGGGACAGCGGCAGCAAACTGGACTTCAGTGGTGACAGCCCCTCCAGACCCAACAGTGACATTGCTGATGTGAGTCTGAAAAGATTTTCATAGGGAAAAAAATTTCCCTGTTCTGTTGGATTGGTATTAGAGACCGGGAGAAAATAAATTTGGGGGTTTTATCCAGGATTAGATTGCCGTGGCATTAATCCCTGTAACCAGACAAAGATGGATGCCAGTGTGTTCCTCTAAACTCGTTTGCCAATTAGAGCATCTTTGAAGGGAATATTCCAACTGCAGCTCTGTGACTCAGACCCAAGCTTGCCCTGGGAGTGGGGAAGATCCTTCCCTCCACCAAATCAGCTTCAGTTCCTGCTCCAGCCCAGGCTCCTGGTGTGCTCACTCATGATTTATCCATCTGTGTGCTCTCCCTTGGTGCCTGATCCTTAATTAAGCCACTCTCTGATTAGTGCAGGGGAATTGAGGCTCTCTGCTTGCATTTGGCTTGAGTTTGTTGATTAACTTAAGGATGTGGGAGCTAAATTTGTCCCAGCAGTTGGAAGTGAAAGGGAGGTGAGTGAGATGGAGCATCCACAGCTCTGTTTTGAAACATTGCAAATCTGACCAGATCCCACCCAGTGCTTGTGTTTGAAAAAAGCCACAACAAAATTCCTAAGTATCTTCCTAATAACCATCATGCTGTCAGTTTTGGGATGGAATTTGATCAGTGCAGGTGATTGGCACACCCAGCATTCCAGCTTTTCCATCCAGCTCTGAGAAAATAAAGGATCAGGGGTGAAAGAAACCTTTGGAAGTGGAAAGATGGGGAAAAGCCGGGCTGGAAAGCAGCAGCCTGAGCTGGAAAAGCCTTTGGGCACACTGAAGATGAGCCAGCAGCACGTGGGTTTTGCAAATAAGGCTCTGCTGAGCAAGAGCATTGCTGGCAGATGGGAGAAGAGAGCTGAGCTGTGAGAAAAGGTGGAGAGAGCAAGGGAAAAGCCAAGGCCTGGGGATTTTACAGCTCTGCTGTCACCAGATTTCTGACCCAAACTTCTGCATTCACTCCAGTTTTGGGGTTTTCTTGTTTTACTGTGCATGTAGGACACAGATTTTACTCTGGTTTTTCACACCTCCTTTTCCTGTGAGAAAGGAGAAGTTTTTGGCTGCTGTGGCTGACAAAGTGCCCAGTGCAGTTCTCCCTTCCCTGGATCTGCTGGTACTTACCAGAACTGCACTTCCCTCTTTCCCAGAGCCCTCGCAGCGGCCTGAAGGAGAGGATTTACCCAGATGAGAGCCCAGAAAAGGCTGAGCTTCAAGACACTGTGAGTACAAAGCATCAAATGTCACAACAGCACCTCCTCTAAAGGTCCCGTTGAAATCTTGCTGCTTTCCCCCACTTTCTAAATGGAGCATGGCCGAACTTTGCTTTAGAAAATAAATTCAATTAAAGTGGTGCAGGGAAAGTTAGTTAGCTGAGTAAATGTTTATGGAGCTTGAGAGCAAGGTGAGAAATACCTGATCAGCAGTGAAACAGCTGGGCCTGCAAGGAGAGCACTTGCACATGTTTTATCATGAGTCCAGCCCTTTTTTTTTGAGGATATTCACTCATTTGGGACCTGCAGGGTTACAAGCGGAGCTCAGAGGAAGGGCAGAGCTGTCTGAACCCATCATCAGCCTTGGCATGACTCCTGGGTTCTCCTTGCCCTCCTCCCAAAGCCACATTTCCCCTCTGTGCAGGGATGGCACTGGGCACTGCCTGCAGCTGCTCTTGATGCACCTGATTTGATCTTTGGGAATATTTGGATTTTTGGAGGGGCATTGAAGGTGGAGTTTTTGCAGAGTTACAATGACCAGAGCATCTCCAGATTTCCCTGTGAGGGACAATGATCAGAGCATCTCCAGCTTTCCCTGTGAGGGACAATGATCAGAACCTCTCCAGGTTTCCCTCTGAGGGACAATGATCAGAACCTCTCCAGCTTTCCCTGTGAGGGACAATGATCAGAGCATCTCCAGGTTCCCCTGTGAGGGACAATGACCAGAACCTCTCCAGGTTCTCCTGTGAGGACAATGATCAGAGCATCTCCAGGTTTCCCTGTGAGGGACAATGATCAGAGCATCTCCAGCTTTCCCTGTGAGGGACAATGACCAGAACCTCTCCAGCTTTCCCTGTGAGGGACAATGATCAGAGCATCTCCAGGTTTCCCTGTGAGGGACAATGATCAGAGCATCTCCAGGTTTCCCTGTGAGGGACAATGATCAGAGCATCTCCACATTTCTCTGTGAGGGACAATGACCAGAACCTCTCCAGGTTTCCCTGTGAGGGAAACAATGACCAGAACCTCTCCAGCTTTCCCTGTGAGGGACAATGATCAGAGCATCTCCAGCTTTCCCTGTGAGGGACAATGATCAGAACCTCTCCAGGTTTCCCTGTGAGGGACAATGATCAGAGCATCTCCAGGTTTCCCTGTGAGGGACAATGACCAGAGCATCTCCAGGTTTCCCTGTGAGGGACAATGATCAGAGCATCTCCAGGTTTCCCTGTGAGGGACAATGCCAAGTTTGTGCTTTTCTTTTTCTCCTTCTCTCCCCAGGACTCGCAGTGCAGTGTTGGCAGTCCCCTGTCCCGGGTGGGGACTCAGATCATCGGAGCAGAGGATGATGATTTTGACACGGAGCAGGAGCAGGTGAGTCCTGGGGCTTCTGCTGCTCACAGTGACCCCAGATGTGTCAGAAATTCTCTTTTCCCAGCCCAGCAGGCAAAGAAGGAGTCAGAAATCTTCTATTCTTGTTCTCAAGGTTGTTTATTGCTTCTTATCTGCAAAATTCTTTCTCCTGTCCTGCTGAGGTCCGCTCAGCAAGACAGAATCACTCTGCCTGCCCCAGGGTGGTGTTATCTTGTTATGCTAAAAACTACATGTACAATATTTATATATATATTGTACCATAACTTCCCAATACTCCCAGTAGGAGTTTTGGACTGATGTTATGTGGGATTTTAGACAGTGAGCTCTACTCTAAACCAATCCCAAAGTGCCACCATCACAGCAGAAGGTGGACAGCAAGAAGAAGAAGGAGAAAGGCTGGACATGCCCAGATTCCTCCATCTTGCCCCCTGAACCCCCATTCTAAAAACCCCCCAAAAAAATCTATTTTTCACCTCATGACAAACTGATTATTATTCTACTTAGACTTTTGTGGCTTGCAGATTTTTATATAAGGTTGGTAATTTTTTCCATGGGTCATAACCAAAGTCACAGGGGTCTGGGGCTTAGTGCCAGGGTCCAGGACAGACAGAGGGATGTCCTGAATTCTGACAGTGGCAATGACTTTTAGCCTTTTTTCCCTCCACCAACCAGAATTCTCCTCCCCTGTTCCTAAACTGCTGAGTACTCCTATGGTGAAATAACAATTTGGGAATTCCTGTTGTTGCTGATCTTTCCAAGTAGAAATATTTGTGGAGTTTATGACAATATCTGTCTCTGAGTCTGTTATTTTTCTTACTTCTCCATACCTCAATTTATTATTTTTNGCCTCAGAAAAGATGAGTTTGGAATGGTTCTTGGGGGTCCTTTGAAGCCAGGTGAGACACAAGTGCAAAGGAGTTCCATCACATTTCATTAGATATCCTAAACTGATTAAGTTGCAGGATATTGTTTATTAGCTAATTAAAATTATTTCAAATCACATCTTCTCCTAGAACAGCTTTTATATTAAATGCTGAAAATTAAGCCAGCATTTTAACCACTGTTAATAAAATTTACCTTTTTTCCCCTTGTTTTTAAGTTGCACTGAACGATCAGATGAAATCTGTCCGAAAAAGAAACGAGACTTCTGTCATTGGCCAAATTGGGGAAGATTTGCTCTCCTGGGTAAAATTCTTTTAATATTTCTTCTATTTGAAAAAAATATGTCATGGAATGACCAACAGAGCCAGAGGTTGGAGGAGGTAATTCCCAGCAATGGGAACTGAAGGGGCTGCGAGTCCTGGAGCCAAAACAGAGCTGGAGGATGAGGGGGGAAGGAAAGCAGGAGGAGCTGAGAGAATTTTCATCTGACTGGAATAGGAGTCATTTAAGGCACAAGAATAATATCCTAAAGATGTGTGGGTAGAACAGAAAGGTACTTTGGGTACATAAAGGTGAGAGTGGGATTTTGAGAAATGTAGTGGCACGATTTATTTCGGTAACACTGAAGTGTGAGCCTGGTGTTGCCTGCGGTGCAGTTTAAAAAAATCAGAAATACTGATTTCTAATCTTAGAATGTATAAATTTGGAGTTTGTAGTGCTGCTGCAGACTTCACTTTTGAGATCTTTATGGAGAGATTTGGCTGGAAGTCCTGGAAGTGTTCAAGGATGTCCTGGCCCATGATGGGGATGAGCTTTAAAATCCCTTTGAACCCAAACCAGGCTGGGATTCTGTGATGTGGGAGAGCTGGATTCAGGAGAACTGAAGAGTTTGGGAAGACAAAGCCTTAAACCAGGGCAGAAATGATTCCACATTTTTGTCAATAATTCCTTTGTTCCCTGGTGATCCCAGTCCCGTGTGGCTCTGCCTGCTCTGTGGGTGCCTCGTGCTGAGCTCCAGCCTGTCTAAACTTGGCTTTTTTGGCTTTCTGGCACAGTTTAGTGGAGCAGCAGAGGAGAAGCTGAAACTTGCCACTGCCACCTTCTGCAGCAACCAGCCCTTCGCTCTGGAGGTCATCAAGTCCCGCCAGAAGAAGGACTCGCGCTTCCAGACCTTCGTGCAGGTGGGTTTGCCACAGGGCTCGTGAGTTTCTCACCAGGCTTTGAGTTTTCTTCTCCAAGCATTGAGTTTTTCTCCACCAGGCATTGAGTTTTTCACCAAACTCTGAGTGTAAGTTCTCAGTTTCTCCGCCAGGCTTTTGAGTTTTTCTCCACCAGGCTTTTGAGTTTTCTCCACCAGGCTTTGAGTTTTCTCCTCCAGGCCTTGAGTTTTTCACCAAAGTCTGGGTTTTTTCCACCTAAGCTCTCAGTTTCTCCACCAGGCTTTTCAGTTTTCTTCTCCAAGCTTTGAGTTGTCTCCACCAGGCTTTGAGTTGTCTCCATCAGGCTTTGAATTTCCTCCACGAGGCTTTGAGTTTTCTCCTCCAGCCTTTGTGTTTTTCACCAGGCTTTTGAGTTTTCTCCACCAGACTTGGAGTTTTCTCCACCAGGTTTTTGAGTTTTCTCCTCTAGGCCTTGAGTTTCTCACCAAACTCTTGAGTTTTTTCCACCTAAACTTTCAGTTTCTCCACCAGGCTTTTCAGTTTTCTTCTCCAAGCTTTGAGTTGTCTCCACCAGGCTTTGAGTTGTCTCCACCAGGCTTTGAGTTGTCTCCATCAGGCTTTGAATTATCTCCAACAGTCTTTGAGTTTTCTCCTCCAGCCCTTGTGTTTTTCACCAGGCTTTTGAGTTTTCTCCACCAGGCTTTGAGTTTTCTCCTCCAGGCCTTGAGTTTCTCACCAAACTCCTGAGTTTTTCCACCTAAGCTTTCAGTTTCTCCACCAGGCTTTTCAGTTTTCTTCTCCAAGCTTCGAGTTTTCTCCACCAAGCTTTGAGTTGCTTCCATCACGCTTTGAGTTATCTCCTCCAGGCTTTGAGTTTTCCCCACCAGACTTTCGTGTTTTCCGCCAGGCTTTTGAGTTTTTTTACTGCCAGGTTTGAATTTTTTCCCTGAAGTTCTCAGTTTCTCCACCAGGCTTTTGAGTTTTCTCCACCAGGCTTGGAGTAACCTCAGCTCAGCCCAATGAATCCTCCTAGATAAAGTTCTGATAATTAGTGCCATTAATTAATGACGTCATGCCTAACAATGCCTTCAGCTGGGTACCACGTCCAGCACTGTATTTATCTCTCGTGGTGGTTTCTGCAGGGAGGAGCCCTCAGGATGGAATGCAGGGCAGCACCGTGTCCCAGGCAGGAGATGCCATCTCCCTGAGATTCCTGCTGCCCCAGCATCCCAAATCCATGGGGCAGCGTGCTCAGAGTGCCAGGAGCAGGAGGCAGATGCTGCACAGCTGCTCTGCCTGCCAGGGGTGGAATTTGGATCCGTGTGGCATTTGCAGAACGTTGTCTCCATTAGCACAGGCTGGGAGGAGCTCTGGGAGTACAGTAAATGAGCCTTGCTTGGTCGTATCCTATGCAAGCTGTTCCAGCTCCAGAGCTCAGCCCCCAAGGGCACTGGGTGCCAGAAGCCAGCTCGCTCTCAGACCAAGGCCGCGGGTCAGCCCCTAGCAAGCAGGGAATATTCAGCTCTTAGTGATCAGGCAGCTCTTGTGATTTCAGCTTTGCTTGCTAGGTAGCTTTTCCCTTGGCCTAAGGCTCCAGCAGAGGGTAGAGAGAGGAGAAGCAGAAGACGCTGCTGTTCCACGAGTATGGCTTTATTGTAGGGGGTCCGTGAAGGGTCTCAGCTCTTCTTCTTCCCAGTTAGTAGGGGTACAGTATGCTACTTTTATACCCTTGGCCTGGATCCAATCCTGACCAATGGCAAAGGTGTCAGAGTGACCATAAGTGACCAATAGTAGGGTTTAACACAATATTGCCTTCCATGGCTATAGGGATAAGGTACAAGGCGGATGTCCCTGGAGACAGGAAACTTCTTTGCCGCTGTGTCAGCATTCTATTCTCCAAGGGGCCCTGGCTAAACCTGAGGGGTTTACTACAGTACAGGGCAGATTATCTTGACAAATATCCCGAGTTTTGCTGCGCTGTGAAAGCCCAAAGTGATGTGTTCCCTGGGAGCTGCCGACTGAGATGGATTGGGGATGGGCCCATGCCCATGGGGAGTAATGAGGGGAGGAAGGCGCTGCTGCTGTGATGAGCTTTTCCTCTGGGTAATTGCAGATGGAGAGGGGACGCGTTGTCTGAGTGATAGATCTTGGCATCTCTTGTCTTGTATTTAATTACTGGAAAGTGAAGTAATAGATGTTTAAGTGATGAATAGATGTTGTGCATTCAGGTAATTATGGCCTTAATAAAAATGACAAATGCAGATATTGTGCTGTTGGAATTTAGGATGCTGAGAGCAATCCCCTGTGCCGGCGGCTGCAGCTCAAGGATATCATCCCCACGGAGATGCAGAGGTTGACGAAATACCCCCTTCTGCTGGATAACATTGCTAAATACACAGGTAAAGCCTTGCCACTGGGGTTTGGGCACCTCTGACCGTGTTCACAGGGGGCTTAAGATGAGGGAAGAGATGAGGATCTGACTCCATGTTTCAGGAGGCTTGATTTATTATTTTATGATATATATTAATTAAAACTATACTAAAAGAATAGAAGAAAGGATTTCATCAGAAGGCTGGCTAAGAATAGAAAAAGAAAGAATGATGACAAAGGTTTGTGGCTTGGCTCTCTGTCTGAGCCAGCTGACTGTGATTGGCCATTAATTAGAAACAACCACATGAGACCAATCCCAGATGCACCTGTCGCATTCCACAGCAGCAGATAACCATTGTTTGCATTTTGTTCCTGAGGCCTCCCAACTTCTCAGGAGGAAAAATCCTAAGGAAAGGATTTTTCATAAAAGATGTCTGTGACAGACACCCATCTCAGCAAGTTTTTTTAGGTAAATGTGTTAAATAACACTTTAGTTTTATGTGTCTCTGTTTGCATTGCGACCTCACTGCTGCTGTCTGCACAGGAGGTGTAAAAAATAATAATAAAAATAAAAAACCAGTGTTGGTTCCTCCTTAGGAAAATAAAAAGGACATTCAGTGTGAAATAAGTGACTCTATCAAACCTCTAAAGCAGCACAGAATGTCCCCATGCTCTTGCAGAGGGTGGGGTTTAATTAGGATCTGTTACACTGAAGGATACTTCCAGCACAACAGGTAAAAATGTGATAAATAACAGCACCAAATGCCTTCCCAGCTTTACTATCTGATACCTGCTGCAGGGTAATTTCATTACTCATAAAAATAGACTGCAGCTACAAGTTCCCTCTAATCCTAATTAGGAGAGCATGTGATACTCCATTATCTTTGATGTACTGGGTGATGTTCCTGTTAAGTGAATTCTCAGTGTGCCTGCTGCTGCTGCTGGGGAGAATTGATGGGTTCACCTGTGCCTGCACTCTTAGTGAGGATTTTATAAGGATTTTATAAGGACTTTAGGTCTCTCAGATTATTGTGAGTAGTTGTCACAAGGCCCTAAAAAAGAGAGAGGAACAATTGCATTGTGCGTAATGATGTACAGGTCACAATCAATTCTCTCCTGACAAATCTCATTTTTATCATTATTGCAGTGCTTTTGTTGGTGAGTTCCCTTTGAGTTTAACTCCTTTTTGTCCAGTGTGAGGGCAAAATGCAGGCCTGGCTGGGAGCACTGTCCCACTTGGTGTTGTTCTTGCAGAGCTGCCTGAGGAGAAGGAGAAAGTCAAGAAAGCAGCAGATCACTGTCGCCAGATCCTCAACCACGTGAACCAGGCTGTCAAGGAGTCAGAGAACAAACAGGTGAGGGGCCAGAGCGAGCAGCCAGGGCTGGGCACGGCAGGGCAGCTGCACCCTGGGCAGTTCTGCTGCTCCAAGTGACATTTCCTTGCATTTCCTGCACTCTGGGCAGTTCTGACATTTCCTTGCATTTCCTGCATTCCATTCTGGGCAGTTTTACTGCTCCAAGTGATATTTCCCTGCATTTCCTACATTCTTTTCAGTTTTGCTGCTCCAAGTGGCATTTCCCTGCATTTCCTGCACTCTGGGCAGTTCTGCTGCTCCAAATTTCCTGCACTTCACTCTGGGCAGTTCTGTTGCTCCAAATTTCCTGCACTTCACTCTGGGCAGTTCTGTTGCTCCAAAGGACATTTCCTTGCATTTCCTGCACTCTAGGCAGTTCTGACATTTCCTTGCATTTCCTGCATTCCATTCTGGGCAGTTTTACTGCTCCAAGTGATATTTCCCTGCATTTCCTACATTCTTTTCAGTTTTGCTGCTCCAAGTGGCATTTCCCTGCATTTCCTGCACTCTAGGCAGTTCTGACATTTCCTTGCATTTCCTACACTCCACTCTGGGCAGTTTTGCTGCTTCAAGTGACATTTCCTTGCATTTCCTGCACTCTGGGTAGTTCTGCTGCTCCATTCCTTGCATTTCCTGCACTCTGGGTATTTCTGCTGCTCCCAGTGACATTTCCTTGCATTTCCTGCAGCACCTGGAGGATTATCAGCGGAGACTCGACCTCTCCTACTTGAAGCAGTCCGAGGATCCCATGATGGATGAGTTCAGGGTGAGTGGGAGCATTAAATCCAGCCCTGTATGAATGGAGTTTGCATTCACCTTGTGCTTCTCCTGGTGCACAATCGAGTGGTCTTTGGAGATAAATATTTCTGTTTGAAAATGAAAACAATTAGTCTCAGAAATGTGATTTTTGCCACCTTCCTGAAGATTGCTGTGGCTCTAACAGCTCAGTTCTGCACATCGTGGTGCTGATGGAGCTTGTCAGCTCTGTGCAACAAACCTTTATGGCCTGCAAGCTCAAGCACTGTATCCCAGGAGAGATATCTGATGGATAATGAGATTATTGTGGATATTTATCTCATGTGAGTGCATCTCTTAGTGATGCTGTTGGAGCTGGGGAGGCCTTGGAGAGCCCTGAGGTGTAACAGCGGAATTGGCTTTAAAAGGACAGCTTGTACAAAAATGTCTGAGTTCCACACAGCCAAATAAAACCTGAAGTCCAGTATTAAAAATATTCTTTTCCATGGCTCCTGTAAATCTTTGCAGTTTTGTTGGTCACCTGCTGGTTTCTTCCCCATCTCCCTCAAAGTCAGTGTGAATCAAAAAACCCCAACTTTTCTATAAAACTGTGTCATGTATCCTTCCCCAAATAAACCTGCAAGCACTGAGCAAGGGAAGGAAGAACTTTTGGCAGCTCCAAAATCTCGCTGTCATTGATTGCAGACTCTGAGACTTGGAAGGGATGAATTGTGAAAATTGTCACTTCTGCTTGCCTGCAGATCTAAATGTCACAGGCACTGAAGTGCCTGAAGAATCCATTGACATTACAAAGCCTGTCAGATCAGGGGGATGATTTGTAAATAATTTGTAGGCACACTTGACTTGCAAATGGAGTGCTGCAGCATTAATCAGTTGTAATGCTGGAGCTGAGTGTGGGGGATTGGAAAAACTCCTCCTAGGAAACAGGTGACATCCCAGTGCCCCAGGAGCTTGACTTGGTGGCAGAATTCCCCACTCTGTGGCACTTGGCATGTGGAAAAGAGCAGAGGAAGAGGAAAAGTGATAAACAGCATCTCTGACGGGATTTTGTGTTCCCTGCTCTGTGTTTCTGGGTTTAGCTGCTTAGCTCCAAACTGCAGTCCCTCTGGCATTCCTGTGTTTTATCATGACTTGCTTCCATGGACATTTTAATTTTATTTTCTTTCCTCTGGTGACAGAACCTGGATCTAACAAAGAGAAAAATGCTCCATGAAGGGCCCTTGACCTGGAAGGTGAATCGTGACAAAACCATCGGTGAGTCTGGGCCGTGCCCCATCCCCTGGCTCTGCCTGAGTTTGCTGGGAAGGAGAGCAGGGAACAGCTCTGCTGCAGCTCCCAATTGTGCTTCTTGTGCCACCTCTAATAATGCCTGTGTGCTCCTCTGAGCTGATTAAATTATTCTTGTCAATTGTGAAAAGTGCTGGAGTGTCATTAGGGCCGTGCAGGGACACAGCAGTCAGTCATGAGCTGAGCCAGTTCCATCTGTGGCTTTCTGCTGGAGTTTGCTCCAGGAAGATTTGCAAGCTTTGCCTGGAATGGCACAGCACTGATTGCTGCCTCTGCATGAGTAATCAGAAATGCAGCTTTCTGCTTTCATCTTTTAACTCATTCTGGGCTTCTTTTCTTGCATTCTGGGCAGATCTGTACACTCTGCTGCTGGAGGACATCCTGGTGCTGCTGCAGAAACAAGATGACAAGCTGGTGCTGAAGTGCCACAGCAAGATCCTGGCATCCACAGCCGACAGCAAGCACACCTTCAGCCCCATCATCAAACTCAACACCGTGCTGGTTCGCCAGGTGGCCACAGGTCAGTGCAGCCCACTGAGGAGGCAAAAAGAGAAGCCAAAAATAAAGATTAGCTCAGTTGAGGAAGATGATTTTGTGTAGATTCGCAGAGCAGAACATGGAAAACTGCGTAGGCTTAATTCTTGGTTGTCCAACATCGTGCTTAGTATGGATGAGCTGTTTAACTTCTTTGCATCAGTAATAGGCATTTGCTTGAGTTTTAAATAGACTTCTAAATGAAAGTACTCTGATTGTGTTAGAGGAAAAGCACTTTGGAAATTATTAGAAGGGAAAAGAGGAGAAATGGAGCTTTTTCAAAATGGGTTTTTTCCCTTTGAGGGCACATTTTGATAGGGCAAGGTCAGTGTTTTTGTATTAGTGTTGGAAAGTTATCTCAAGGACTTTTTCCTTGCTTTGGGCTGGGGTTATGTAGGAATTTTGGGGAAGCGAGAAGTGAATTTGTGAATTTTGGGGAAGTTTGAGTTCCCTTTTCTGTGTTGGTGCAGATAACAAAGCTTTCTTCGTCATCTCCATGTCGGCGACGGGGGCTCACATCTACGAGCTGGTGGCACAGACTGTCTCCGAGAAGAATGTGTAAGTGCTGGGCAAATTCCAGCTGCTGCTGGCTTTGTTGGGCCTGAGAGACCTTTTACTCCATGAATTCCTTGAGTTCCTTCTCCAAATTCAGCTGGAATCTTGTGGTCTCTGTCAGTTGTAGGTCTTGTGGTCTCTGTAAGCATCTGCGGATAGTCCCTCCCAGCTGGCTCACTCCAGACTCTTTCCTGACCTCCAAAATGGTTTTATTTACCCTTAAAATTCTGGTTTTTTTGGCCCTGACTGCCAGATCAGCCACAGAAATAATCCTGCATCTTCATGCAGCACCAGGGATCTTGGCAGGTTTACATTCTGGCATCACAGACACCCCAGTGCAGGAATTGGATTCTATGGCTGAAAGCTTCACTGGGAGAAACTCTTTTCTCCTAAAGAATACCCAGGCACAGATGTGTTTATGGAATCCATGCCTGTTGCTGCATCTGTGCATTTCAGTGATGTGTGAAATAATGCTTTTTCATGTATTAATATATCAATTAACTGCTTGATCTGACAAATGATAAGGTCCTGTCTATCATTTCAATCTGCTGAGAGCATCCAGGTGAGCTGAGCTTTCTGCTGTGGGGATTTCAGGCTGTTCCTGGGGGGACTGAATGGAACAGAACTTTAAAAAAAAAGGACAATTCTTTTTGGTAAAAAAAGCAATGATAATATCAGCTGGGTTTAAGAGGATTAAATAGAGAAATGCTCATTGTGCCTCACTTGCTGCATGGTTTGATTTGCTGTTTGTGCTGCAGCTGGCAGGACCTTATAGCTCAGATGGCAGGAACTGTGAAGATGGGGAGCAGCAGGAGAGTGATCCCACTGCCTCAGTCAGGCCCTGGCGAGTAAGTCAGAGCTGCAGGAGGAAGAAAAGCTGATTTTTTCCTTCTCCAGCACCCCTTTTCCTGCCTAAAAACTGCCCTGCAAAGCATGGATTGTGCTGCAGATGAAGCTGACTGAGAGGATGTGCTTGTGCTTCCCTCCCTGCAGAGAGGAGCGTGAGGAAGAGGAGCAGCAGAAGCTGAAGGAGCAGCATGACATTCCTGCCAGCAGCCTGCAGAGCCCAGGTGAAGCAGGGATTCAGGGAAAGGGAGCAGCAGATTTGCTCCAGGGAGTGCTGATGTGCCCAGCCACAGTCCTGGGGGATTGGGGATCCTGGGGCAGCTTTGAGATTGTTCTGGAAAGGGATGATTTCTTTATAAGTCACTCAGAGGAGTGATGCTGAACCTCTTGGAAATGCATCTTTTACCATTCCCATCTGATTTATAAACCCTGGAAAGAACTGGCCTTGTAGCTGAAGAATCTTAGTGTTTCCAGAGTGGAATTTTCTGCACTTTTACCATTGTTGTTTCACCCGAATTTTTGTTTTCTGTCCTCCAGATAAAGATCTGGGCCTGGAGTCTCCCTTGATACTGAACCCTCAGTCCTCCTCGCCCATCCTGTCTGAGAAGGCCAAGGTGGAGGGGCTGCTGGAGGGGCAGTTTGAGAAGGGGCCGCAGGCAGAGCTGGCCCTCAAGGACTCCTCTGGCTGCAGCTCAGCCTCGGTGCCAGAGGGGCAGTGGGCCCGGGATGCCCTGAGGAACTGTGAGTACCCCCCTGCACGGGCAATCTCCATCCATTTCCCATTTCCCATCCCCCTGGGCTGGGTTTCACACAAAAGGGATGTGGCAGCAAGGAGTTGTGAATCCCTGCATTCCCTGGGATTCAGGCATCTCCTGGTTTTTCTGGGGTTTTCTGTATCAAACGAGGCTGATCATGAATTTCTACCGTCCATGGAGTGCTCTGATGGCAGAATGATATTGCAGAGCTCAGTGCACGGTGCCACTGCTGGTCAGCAGTTTTTAAAGGCAAGGCACTCAGCCCTGGCCTTATTCCTGTAGCACTGGAGCAGAACTGGAGAGCTTGCTTGTGTTGCAGAATGCAATTTTCCTTTTTATTTTCTGTAAAATTCTGCAAATTTGTTAAGCTCACTTACATCCAAAGCCCAGGCTCAGATTTCCTGAGTTTGATTTGGTTTAATTAGATCAACACTTGTGTGTGTTGAGAAGTTTTTCTGATGGCCGAATCATTGTTTAAGATTTTTTTTAAAGGTTTTTAATAATTTCTTCTGTTCTCCTTTCAGAGGAGGAATGCAGGGCTCTGCAACCTGCTGGATCGGCTCTGGCAGTGCAACTCCTAAATATAACTCCCTAAAATTTCAATGAATTCATTAATCCACAGATCTGTCCTTGGCAACTCTGGAAGGGACACAAAGTCCCTCAGCTGTACTTGGAGGGAAGAGTCTGTGCAATATTTGCTTTTACCAAAATGCAGAACTCTCTCATCCTTGGCCCCAATTGCCTTTTCCATCCCTCTGCCCAAGCAATGACAGTTCTCAGAGTTATCTCAGAGCTTTAATTCCATTTATTCTCCTTCTCAGAGGATTTAAATTTCTTTTCTAGTTCTGAATATTGCCCAGATATTCTTGGTACTTGTTTTAAGAGACCAGAACTAAAATAATCTCAGTCTGGGGGTGTGTGAGGACAATTTTCGTGACCCTCCTGCATGCTGAGAGTTAAAAGAGCAGCTCTCCAACATTGTGACAAGAGCCTGAGCTGAGTGACAGCTCTGCTGTGTGACATCACAGCTTTTTTTGGGTGTTGCAGGAGCATTTTGTGGTGAGGAGGAACAATCTGGGGCTCTTGACAGCAGCACGTTTTTGTTTGGAACAATATGTCCCTATTATGAAGTGTTTGCTTGGGATAATTTGGGAGCTAAAGGAATGTGGGTTGAAGTTCACCCAGGCATAAATTTGCATTGAATTTTAGGGAAAAAAATGTTTCTTAGATTTTTCCCTTTTTTTTTTTTTTGCTGTCATTTCAAACCTGAGTGGAATATTCCCAATTTCCTTGAGGTGGGAATCCCCTGCTCTAACCACAGCTCTGAGCTCCTGTGCAGGGTGAAGCTCAGGATCATTTTTGGAGACAATTTCTTTGGTTTTCTCCAAGGAGATGCAACTTGTCCTGACATGTTGTAAGGTAAAACAGGGGAATGAGGCTGGAGCCTTTAATACATTTATTTTTATCCCTGTTTTTCCAACCCCGAGCAAGGAGTCACACCTCTGTCAGAGTGACCTTTGTGTCTGCTTGAATCCCTTCTGTGCTCTGTGAGCCTTGCCTGCATTTGTCAGGTGCCATTAGTGCAGGATTTCCAGATATTATGATAGAAACAGAGATTTTGGGCAGGCAGGAAGGGAGGTGATGAGCTCACAGAATATCCTGAAGGATCATTGAGTCCAGCTGCTGTCCGTTTAATTAAGTTTTCTTTTTTTAATATACAATATAAAAACCATCCATGATCTCTGAACCTGTTTAGAACAAGCTGAATCTCATAGCACCACTGATCTTTGGAGTGTGCACAAAGGGTTTTTCTCAGGAGATTATGGGCTGTGGGACGTCTTTTCTCAGGAGAAGGGCTATGAAACATCCCCACTTCTGTCTCTAAAAATCTCCTCAAACCTCCTTCTTAGATTTTTTCCCTTTGTTGGTTTTTTTTTGCTGTCATTTCAAACCTGAGTGGAATATTCCCATTTTCCTTGAGGTGGGAATTCCCTGCTATAACCACAGCTATGATCTCCTGTGTAGGGTCAAAATTTGAGTCATTTGGTCACTTTGAGCCCAAAGTTGAAATCCTTTTCTATAACCACTGTGAGCTCCTTTGTAGGGTCAAAATTTGAATTATTTGGTCACTTTGAGCCCAAAGTGGGAATCTCCTGCTATAACCACAGCTGTGAGCTGCTATGCTGGGTCTAAATTGAGTTATTTGGTCACTTTGAGCCCAAAGTTGGAATCTCCTGCTATAACCACAGCTCTGAGCTCCTGTGCAGGGTCAAAATTTGAGTTATTTTGTCACTTTGAGCCCAGAGTGGGAATCCTCTGCTATAACCACTGTGAGCTCCTTTGTAGGGTCTAAATTGAGTTATTTTGGTCACTTTGAGCCCAAATCCTGTCCCTCTCACCTGCCCCTTGCCTGTCCTTGCAGTGGGGCTGCTGAAGCAGCTC